TTTCGACATTGCAGTCAGCTTAGACTGAAGAAGTCAAAGATGAGTGACGAAATGTTTGTCCCACTGAAAACGCTAGGTGCAGATGAATAGAAGCAACTTTTGGAGATAGGTTTAGTCTATTAGAGATTGATTACTAATATGTTACCTCATATAGTAAACTGTTCTTGTGTGTATTTTATAACTTGTAAAACACAGCAACAGCTACCAGAAGAAGACATAATTCATGAAGCTACATTTTCCTTCTGATAATGTAAACCTTTAACTCTTATAATGAATTTAAATATTGATATTTTTCAACAACACTGACACCTTGCAGTAGTACTAGAGTGCTTCAGTATTGTAACACACTACGACTGCAGATTTATATTTAGGAACACTTTTTTTCTTAAAGCTCAACAGAAGTGTAAAGTGCTCAGTTTCTATTTCTGTTTCCCCCTAGAGTTTATTTGCTGAATGTGACGTGGAACTCACGTATAGTTCTGTTGTTAAGAAACAGCGCATTAAATGGGTAAATATTAAAAGACCTGAAGCCAACCACACACTAGATGTCACTTCCCTTTATCTCTTAATTTCTTCAATTATTTTGCTTGTTGCCCTAGTGTTTCATGATTTCTTTTTTAATTTCGTCACATTTTTCTTAGCTTTTTTTCCCCTAATTGTCCCATTTGTTTCTGTTCTCAAACAGGATGAAGGAAATTATACAGAAGTTTCGGAGCATTAGAGCATATTAGCTAACAAGCGTTGAAATGTGCAAACATTAAAATCTTTTTGCAGTTTTTACTTTTTTATCTGTACCTATATTACTGAAGTATTGTCAGATAAATGCTGCAATGTGTCAGGTTGTGATGTAGTAGCTTTTTTCTTCTCCTATTAACTGCTTTGTAACAAATTTTATTCTGCATAGCTGCAGATTTATTTAAAGAAGCATTGGCCAGTTTGCTTGTTCTTTTTCAAGATCATTGATGTGATTCTTAGTTTTGTAATAAAAAGGGATTGTAATCATCAGCATCAACATTTCTATTTGTCTGTTAGATATATTATGTATCATTATGTTTATCAATATATTGTTTGTGGTTTGTATCTATCGATCGATAGATAGATCGATAGATAGATCGATAGATAGATAGATCGATAGATAGATCGATCGATAGATAGATCGATAGATAGATAGATCGATAGATAGATCGATCGATAGATAGATGCCTGTGCACTGCCTGGATTGACTACAAGAAGGCCTATGACTCGATGCCCCACATCTGGATCCTGGAATGCCTAGAAATATACAAGAACAATAGGACTCTAAGAGCCTTCATCAGGAACTCAATTCACCATCAAGTGTGGGATCTACCAAGGAGATGCTCTGTCCCCACTTCTGTTCTGCATAGGCCTGAACCCCCGCAGTGAGATCATCACTGGCTATGGATACCGACTACAGAGTGGAGCAGTTGTTAGTCACCTCCTCTACATGGATGACATCAAGCTGTATGCCAAGAGTGAACAAGACATCGATTCACTGATCCCCACCACCCGGATATATAGCAATGACATCAGAATGTCATTCGGACTGGAGAAGTGTAGCTGGATGATAACAAAGAGAGGGCAAAGTATTCAGAACTAAGGGGATCGAACTACCAGAAGGCAACATTGCAGACATAGAGGACAGTTACAAGTACCTGGGAATCCCGCAGGAAAATGGGAACCATGAAGAGGCAGCTAGGAAAGCTGCAACCACCAAGTAACTGCAGAGGGTCAGGCAAGTCCCGAAGAGTCAGCCGAACAGGCTATTAACACCTACGCTCTGCCCCTGATCAGGTACCGTGCTGGGATAATAAGCTGGCCAATAGAGGAGATGGAAGCCACTGACATTAAAACCAGGAAGCTCCTGACCATGCATTGAGGGTTTCACCCCAATTCCAGCACCCTGAGGCTGTATGCTAAGTGGAAGGAAGGAGGCCAGGGAATGGTGAGTGTCAGTACCACAGTCCAGCATAAGACAACAAACATCCATGAATACATAAGGAAAATGGCTCCAACTGACTGCATGCTCAGTGAATACCTCAGGCAGCAGAAACCCAAGAAAGAGGAAGAAGCTTCATGGAAGGACAGGCCCCTGCACGGTGCGTACCACTGGCAGATCAAGAAAGTGGGTGACATCCAGAAGTCCTACCAGTGGCTAGCCAAAGCTGGACTGAAAGACAGCACAGAGGCACTAATCATGGCAGAATAGGAGCAAGCTCTGAGCAAGAGATTCATAAAGGGTGAGGTCTTTCACAACAGGCAAGACCCCAGGTGCGAGCTGTGTAAAGATGGCCCTCAGACAATTCAGCACATAACAGCAGGGTCCAAGATGCTAGCAGACAGGGCATACATGGAACGCCATAACTAAGTGGCCAGCATAGCATACAGCAACATCTCAGTCTCCACAGTCTCGGTCGTTGTGCCCTTGGGCAAGATACTTCACCCGTTGCCTACTGGTGGTGGTCAGAGGGCCTGGTGGTGCCAGTGTCCGGCAGCCTCGCCTCTGTCAGTGCGCCCCAGGGCGGCTGGCTACAATGTAGCTTGCCATCACCAGTGTGTGAATGTGTGTGTGAATGGGTGGATGACTAAACGCGCTTTGGGGTCCTCAGGGACTAAGCAAAGGGCTATACAAATACAGGCGATTTACCATCTGTGCCGAGTATAACATAGAAGTCCCGAGGTCAAAATGGGCCATTCAGTAGCAATACTGAATGACAGCAACACCAGGAAGAATGAACACAAGAAGCATGAGAAGTACCAAGGGCTCAGAGAAGAGCTCAAGAAGATGTGGAGGGTGAAGGTAACAGTGGTCCCAGTGGTAATCGGATCACCAGGTGCAGTGACTCCCAGGAAAGTGGCTCTAGCAGATCCCAGGAACAACATCATGCTCTGTCTGGAAGAGCGCAGTCCTAGGAACAGCTAAGATATTGTGCACGACCCTACGCTCCCATTCCTCTGGTAGATGACCCGAGCTTGAAGGATAGACCGCCCACAGGGGCAAGAGGGTAATTTTTCTTCATATATATCTGAGCAGTTCCTATAGGCTTAATATTTATCTGGCCTTGTACTTTTGTCCATATTGTATATTTTCTTAATCCAAATAGTAACTTCTTGCTGTTATGTTTTAAGTAATTCAGTCCACATTGACTTTGCACCCAGTAAATTACAGCTAATTATGTCATTGAAGTAACTAATAATAAGACCATACCTATGAAGAACTAGTAGCAAGGCACATATGAAGTGTTGCATTTTCTATTGCATGAATTAAAAATAGATCCAGACTCGATGCTGGTTTATGTGGTGTAAGTCTATTTACTCACAGGTATAGCTGCTCATCTTATTGTTTTTTTCTCTTCAGTGTATTCAAGGTCAGTCAAATGAGCTATTTAAATACCTAATGTTCCACAAGCTAACACCAACAGATGATAATGAAGATAACAATAAAATCCAGTAATGTGAAGGAAGAATTTTTAAGTAAACATAACCATGAAAATACTTGTATTATTATGTTTGTTCTTGTTCCAAGAGTTCACAGCATAACTACATTCAGTAAAGTTTCAATAACAGATGGAAAATGTGTCTTCATCCAATGTTTCTATGACTCCAAATATATATACTTGTACTTGTATAAAGTTCTTGTATGATGGATATTGTTGGTAATTTGCTGCTGTCTAATCAGAAATGTAGTGCATTTATTACGTGTATGTAGTTGAGATCAATGGAAGGTCAGATGACATGAAGTATTGTTATATATGTGGCACCAGGTGTATCATAAGTATATTTCAGTATATTTTACATAGACTATTATTGTTGATGATTTTTTATTTTACTTTTTTTTTTTTACATTTGTTCAGAGTAAGAATGTTGTAGAGCTGAGACATTTACACAAACCAGATTTTTATTTGATCTTATTTTATTTTTGCTCTAAGTTGTTTTCTTAAATTAATGTTTTTGTTGTTTTCTCTTTTTTGTTTTTTTCTATGATTATATTATGATTATGGATTTACCTGTTTTGGTGCAAGACTAACGGTAGGATTTATAGAGAGTTGTCCATCTCTAGAAAGAATGCACCCTCTCCCTTTATTGAAACTATTGGCTGTTACTGGTAATAGGCTGCTACTAGTCCTACTGCTGGTGTGAAAGAAGGATGCAATAAGGCTCCATCTTGTGGTGGGTTTGATATGTAGTTAGACATTTAATTTGAGAGAACTGAGTGACATTACTAATTATGATTGAGTGGATCTGCTGTATGATTGAGTTACTGAGGGGGGTGGGCTGAAGTGGAAGAATGGCTGCTCACAAGAGGAGACCCAAATATGATATCTACATGAAGGAATGTTCATTTATTTAACATTTCTCCATGAGCATGGTACATGTTACCAACTAATGTCACATATGTTACTAAAACCATCACTAACTACTGCAAGTGATTATAAATTCTACATTAATTCCAAATATCAGTAAATTTTAGTACCTGAAGACAGAGAAGATACTTTATTGTCACAAGAGGTCACCACAGCAGTTGGCACCACATGTTTGATTTAACAGAAATTCATGTTGGATTTCTTTTCTGACATAATCTCAATGAAGATTTGTGTTTTTAGATGGAACTGAATCAGCAACCTTTCACTTGCCACATGAACATACTGTAATATGGAGCCACTCTTAGAGAGAGAGAGATTAGAATACATTCGATTACTATACTAATTACTGCCTTTTTTAAATTGTAGATACTACTCATACTATATGGGAGACAGCATATTTAAAAAGGGGCAACCCAGCTCGGATATCTTTTGTATTTTTCTGCATTATTTCCTTGCATTATTCCAGTTCCCTGTCCATTACTCTGTGGACAGGGAACTGTTCTTCTAATGAAGTGTCTCGTAAATGTTTTACTAATGTAAAGAGACTACATTAGAAAAAAGAGGTTTTGTCTGAATTCAGATATGGAGGTAGAGAGGTTAGAATAATAAACAAAAATACAATGAACCCAATACATATAACAAACTGTATAAACAGTAACAGCAACAAGATCTCTAAAGTAACCAGTACAAAATACAAAGTACCAGAATGACAATCGAACCTATAGGAAATCAAAAAATGTATATAATATAAATAAAATATAAAATATAATATAAAGAATCATGGTTGAACAACACCACAAATAAACCAGAATAAAGACTTATAATGTAGATATCTAAGACAAATGTCAGGGTCTATGACAACTACACTGACAAACACAAAAGTGATTTGTTATATGACAGAAGATTTAAAAACCAAAAAAACTTCACTGTGACAGTTAAAAACATGACACGTGAGGTCAGTCATTACTGGTGTTTTGTGGAGTTTCAGGTACATGAACACCAGACATGGAAGACAGGCTTCGTCTGTCTGTCACCAGAGGTAAGACTTGACATTTCAAATAATCAACTTTCATAGACAACATTTATACATGTTATAGTAAAAATATTTAACAAGTGTTGAGGGAGTTAAAAAGGAATCATATATGAATAATAACACAACAAATTTCTACTTTTTTCCATCAAGGTTCATCCAGTTTCTATGTGGATCACAAGAATATTACAGGGTTATTACTATTATTATAGGGCTGCATAATAATATTCAATATTTAGTATTTACTGTTATATTCACATAGATTATCATGATGATGT